CGGTCGCAATGCAGGAGAACACAGGGTGGAGGCCAGTGGGGCAGGCACAGGGCAGCGGGTAGGCACAGGAGCCCAGGATGCCGGATGCTCCCGGCTGTCGCGGCAGGGCTCCACCGCCCCGAGCTCTGAACTGGGGAGGGAAAGGGCCTGGCAGCGCCAGGCGTGGGGTCGGCAGCTCCCCTGCTCGGCAGCCTCACGCCCTCTCTGGGGTACGGGAGGGCACAGCCCCAGCGGGTTGAGCAAACGCTCGCACCGTCAGGAAGGATGGAGGGAGACGGTGACAAGGCTCCCGGAGCAGCCCAGGCAGAAACTGAAGGCCACAGCCAAAGGCACATTCCAGAGGGAACACGAGGTACAAACACGTCGGCAGCACTTTGATGGGTGACCATCTGTGATGGGGGCGGGGGACGCTGCCCCCACCAGACACAGGCCCGGGTCCTGGCAGTCCAGCCCGTGGGGCCGACCGCTGGAGCCGGGCGGTCAGCTGCCAGGCTCAGGCGTCCGACGCGGTCGCAGACAGGCTGGGAGGTGGCCGGGTGGGGACGCCCCACCGGTAGCAGGGGCTGGGCTGCGGGCCACAGGCCGCAGAGGAGACCCAGAAAACACTCCAACGAAGTGATCTGGAAGGACTCCACACCGCCTGGATTCCAGGCGGCTCATCCTCATCTGCGCCTTCAGGCCAGCGCTAAGGGGACTGGAAGGCAGGTGCTTGGATGGTGGTTACAGAGCCCCACGGCAGCTCGAGAAATTCAGCTCCGACTCGAGGCCTCGGGAGAGGCCGGGCTGCGGTGCAGAGGGCTGAGAGAGATCCAAGGGGTTTGGATGCAAGTCCCATGGTCTGTCTTTACACCTTCCAGATACCCGTCCCCTCCGCAAACATCACGTGTCTGCTTCTGTGATTTTTGAAGAACAAATCACAGTGGCTTTGTATGTGGTACAGTTGGAGAGATTTTGGCTCTTATTTTTAAAGATTTATTTATGAATACAGAACTGGGGTGCAGGGGCAGTGAGAGGATTCCCCCAGAGTGGGGAGCGCAACAGGCAGATGTACTGAAACACACTGCTGAGGGGAGCGGCGGGGAGACAGGAGAGGTCTGCTGCGCCCTGTGGGTCCCTCCCTGGCTGGGGATCTAACTTGTGCTGCAGGGGCTGTGGACAGCTTCATAGTGCTGCGCTTCAACTTTTTGTGCCACCTTGAGGGCCCTTGGTTCTCTTGTTAAAATGGGCTTGGTAGGCTAGGTTGAGCTCAAGAGAAATCCAGCTGTCAGTACAAAATTTAGCAAGGTGCTGGGGAAAGCAGATTAAGACTACAGCCCCAACACAAATACTCGAGAGGGTGGTCAGGTACCAAGGAAGAGACCAGAGCAGTAAAGAAACTCTGCCCCCAAGGTGACCACACAGGTCCCCAGGCAGAGTGATGCCCGGCCCCAGCCGACCGCACTGGTAAGTGGCCACCCCCCGGTGACACTCTCCTGACACCGAAAACAGGTTCGCCATGAGGCAGTGGAAGAATGAGCTGCAGGACAAGGTTTGCTTTTTTTAAATATGTCTTTATTTCTCAAACTCAAAGCTTTAATTCATCAGGTTCTAACACATTCTGCATTGACAAGTGATTTGACCTGCGGACTTAGTGAGCATCACAGGAAGAGGAAGCCTCACTCAGACTTAGGTCCCCTAAGAAACTCACTCTTTCCAAGGCTGTGCAGACATAACCAAAAGAAAGCTCCCAATTTAGTCTAATGAGTATCTTCACCTTTCAGCTAGATCAACTTGGAAATGGATAAAAAACTCAAGTTGGCCAAGAGAAGCTGTTTTTTTTTTTACCCATTAAAAAAAAAAAAAAAAAAATCCAAGCCACCAGATGGCTTGAATGTTGAAATGCCCCGAGACCTGGAGTGGTTAAGGACTTCCTCTTCAGCGGGTGATCTTCTCACCTTCCTACGTAAACACACGACAATTTGTACCAACGCTCACAAACCCAGGCAACACTCCAAAAGCATTTTCTTTTGCGTACACTTTAACTTTTTTTTTTTTTTAAGTGATAGGTAAACAAGATTTAGAACTGGAACTCACAAAACAGCATTTTCTTTTCTGATCTTCGCCTTGGAAGCCTCCACAAGTAATCCTAACGCGTTGCCAGGTCTTCTTAAATACATCTCCCCTCCTCCCCGGTCTTCTCCATGGCACGGCCTGCACCAGAGCAGGTCAGCTGCGTGGCTTTGGTGTCTGCCAGGCATGACATGTTTGCACCCTGGCGACTGCAGCTTCTCACACCTCACAGAGGCCACCCCCCGAGACCCCGAGGTCTAGCTGGAGTCTGTCACGCAGCCTAAGGCAGGGCCCTGGTGAGCAAGGGGGGTCCTCTCAGCTGCACGAGCCTCACTTCATCTGGGAAGAGGACATCTGAGCTCAGAAGTTAGCTGCACTCTGAAACAAGGCACCCGGCAGTTAGCTAGAAAGGCACTGTGTCTTCAGTTAGGAAGTGGTTTTCCCTTGTCACCAGTCCCCCCCAGGGAACAAAGCTGCATTAGCGACCACCCTCACGGACCCCGAAGAGAAGGTGCTGTCGAGGGGCTGCCGGAGGCAAGGGATTAAGGCATCAGCGGGCACAGTGCGTCACCACAAAGTGCAGGCGCTCTGTGACGCAAGTCCCCAGGAAAAACATCAAACCGGAGGGGGAAAAAAACAACAACTTGAATGTCGAACCACATCTGCTCCATGCAGCCTCTGACACCCTATCGCAAGGAGCCCAGACTCCTGCTGGCTTGCCCCCTTCGCCAGGCCTTGCCTCAAGGTGAGGGCCAGGCCCCTCCCGTAAGCAGTGGGGGGGCCGGGGGTGTGCAGGTGTGAGCGATGGGTTTAGTTTCAGAGTTGACATTACCGAGTGAGGAACAGTGTCTTGGTGCCAAGAAGGATGGCAGGGCGAGACCGAAGTTCCAGCCAAGAGCTGTGTGCCCCCCTTCTCCTAAAGCAGAGGGGGGAGGGTCTTTTGGAACCTCACTGCTGCTCAAATGAATCCCAAGCAGCAGGTGGAGACACGGAGCCTGCAGAGGGCTCAGAAGAGCGGTGGGAATCCCGAGGGGGACCGCTCGCTCTACACCAGAATGCGCCTTGGGCTTCGGTGTCGGCAGCCACTGCCAGGTTTCACGTTACAGGACACCCAAGAGAGGGCCGTGGGGCCAGCAGGCTTCAGGCGCAGGCGGCCCGAGCAGCGTGAGAGGCAGGTTTCAGCCGGCGTTTCCAGGTTCCCTGCTCAAGGTCACCAGGCCTCTTCGGAGGCGAGCAGGTAGACACGCTACTGGGCCAGGGCTGGGTTCTAACAGCACGGTGCTGGTCTACTGCAGCTCTCGATGGATGGTCCTAGAACCCAAGTCTACTCTCAAACACCCAAGCAGCGGGGCTAAAAGCCAACAGGGGAAGAGGCCTGCCCGAGGTGGTCATGGCGCATGGTGGACAAGAACGGGCACACTGGGAACTTTAGCAACTGCTGACTCCCCTCATCCTCAAAGGAGGACTCGTACTGGGTAGGGAAAAAATAATAATAATAATAAGCAGAGAGAACTCCAAGGACAAACTGCAAATTTAATGGTTTGACGCGGCTCGGATCCTGTAGTCATCTGGAGCCTCGCCGACCTGATCTCCGCGGCTTCGGGAGATGCAATACTGACTTCCACGAGCGAGGGCTCGGCTGGCCGGCGGTGGCATCGCGTTGCAAAGCTTCGGTGAAACAGACCTGTCACTTTTGCGCAAGCGGCCCCGCTGTGACCACCACACAGCGTGAGGTCATGGATCAGCACGCGGGTTGTTTTCAAAGTCGGGATTCACTCTTCATCGCCACCCCTTTCATCCCGGGGCCCCCTCCATATAGCAATGTCCTTGAGGCAGCCAGTGCGTTCAAATGCAAGCAGGAGCAGGTCAGCCCAGCCGGGCCTCCCACAATGCCCCACGTGGGCAGCAGCTCTGCGTGGGACGTCAGTTACAAGGACTGGGACAAATTTGGTTCTCGCCCCAGAAAGGGGTAACTCACTCCTGTGCTCTAGGTCTGCACTGAGGGAAGTTCGCTGCTGAAAGCCAGGGGCCGGCACTCCCTCGAGGCTGGGGGTCTTATGGCCACAGGAAAAAGTAAAGCAGGCAGGGCCTCGGTGTAGAAAATTGCTGCAGCAACCCAGCTGGGTGGCGAACGCGAGTTCCTCTGCCCGTGAAGCCCGAGAGTGCTGCTTTCTAAAAGATCCTAGAGAAAGTTTCAAACCCTTATCAAATCCCTTAACTATATCTACTGGGAAGCCACCGGGGGCCTAGAGCTCCCCCATTTACTAAGTTTGCTTCAGACTAGAGATTAACACTGTTTTCCTTCTAAAGTGCAGAACAGACACGAGTAAGGTCAAACCGACCAGAGTAAGGAAGCTCATTCTTCACTCAAACACACCAGAATGAATCATCGCAAAGTGCACGCCAGGCCCACCGAGCGCCAGGCCCGACCCCGCGGGTCCACTGCTAAAGCAACTCTGAGCCAAAGAACTCTGCTCGCGAGAGCGGGCCTCTCCGAAGGTCGCCCGGTGCCACTGAAATCCCTGAATTCACTTGCCGTCAGATAACCTGGAGAAGGAAATCGCCATTCTGGAAAACAAAAACACTCACAGAACAGAAACAAACAACAACAAAAACCAGCCAAAGTACTCCAGAAACACAGCTTGTTCTACTTGGAATGTGATCCACGGGTCTCCAATTAAAACATGGGAAGACCCCCGATGCCAGGCAGAGCTTAGACTCGGCACAGTCCAGTCTCAGGAAGAGCAAATGCAAGCTATGAGCTAAGGAGTGGAGACGTGTCATTCAGTAAGTATTCCTTCGAGAAAAACTGAACGTTCGTGTTTCCTATAATCACCACCACCACCACCAAAATTCTACTCTAACATTATGTCCCACATTTTATTTTGTTTTCAAGTTACATTTCAAAAAAAAAAAAAAAAGTTGGTTTTTTTTGTGTGTTTGTTTTTCCCTCAGCGATCTTCCGTAACTCCTCCTGATAGCACAGCATCAAAACCACAAAACACTTCCAACCAGATCTCAGTTCTCCAGCTCCTGGCTTTGGTGTATTGATAAAGAAAGTCTCAGCTCTGCTGATGGGAATAAACATAAGCAATTCAGTCCCTTGACCAAAAACGAAGTCACAAGCCCACACTCGGATTTGCCATTTTCTGCCTAAAATCGATACAAGAAAATAGCCCGTCGGCACAGATTTCACAAGATTGCTGAGAACCCAGGGAAAGGCCAACACAGCCTTACTGCAGGCCCGGTGAGAAGAGAGTGCTGCGTCCTTCTCAAACGCCTCCAGCGTCTCCCCAGCTCGACGACTACGCGGAGCTCAGACTCCCCTGTGCTGAGGCCTGGGACGTGACACGACAGGGTCTATCTTGGAAAGCTGTGGCCAGGTGATACTTCCTAGAGCATTTTCCAAAGTGGCACTAGTAATGGGTCCCTTCGGGGTTGGCTCACAAGATACTGTAGACCCATTCCGATGGGCACACGAAGAAAAAGAAAAGCAGAATCAGAGCTGAGTTCCCCTTTAAAAGCCAAACACCTACATCTAGAAGGCGGCTCCCCGACCTGAGAGCGCCCGCCCTATCGGGGTGCCCGCTGTGGGAACCCCCGGGTCTGGAGGTTAGTTACAGGGCAGCCAGGTGGGGTAGGGCTGGCTGTAGGTGACCGGAGGCTGGGCGACGTAGTAGTTGTTGAAGTTGCCGTCGCTGATGTAAGGCGCTGGCTGGTAGTAACAGGTGACGTTGGCGGTGTTGGGGATGATGTTCTGCTCGGCCAGCACGCGCAAGGCCAGCAGGGAGATGAGGTTCAGGGTCTGCCTGCGCTCGTGGCCCATGAGGCACACGGTGCTCTCGTTCACCACCCTGCGCAGGATCATGAGGTAGTGGTACTTGCTCTTCTCCTCCTCGGCGAAGTGGTTCTGAAGGTAGGTCTCCAGCTTCCGCTGCTGCTCGAATATGTCCGGGAAGTCGATGAAGAACCTGGAACACATGTAGCGCTCCAGGGTCTTGATCTCCTCCTGGTCGGTGGGCCTGAAGTCCCGCACCAGGAGGTTGCTGTACTTGAGCAGCCCCCCGCCCCGGATCTCCTCGGGGTTCTTGGTGGCGATCAGTCTGTTCTGCAGGTGGTCGAAGGCTTCGTCGAAGTCCCCGTACACGCTCTCCCCGATCACCGTGGGGTGCAGGTGCTCGGACACGGGGCTGCTGGAGCAGTCGTAGAAGAAGAGCAGCGAGTCCAGGATGATCTGGAAGGAGTCCACGCTGAACTCGAACTGGCGCCGGATGGAGTCGACGAACTTGAGCTCCACGTTCCTCCCGTGCTTGTTGGAGAGCGAGATGAGGCTCCAGCGGTCGCTGTCCGTGCACACCTTGACCAGCTTCTGCACGTACGCCTCCTTCAGGGTGACCGGGCTGATTTTGAGCTTGCTCACTCCCTCCGGCAGGAAGTTCAAGAGAGAACACAGAACCACGTCTCGGACCAGCTGAAACTCCGCCTCCGTGGGCAGCGCCACGTGGAAGATCAGGTCCAGGTCTTTACAGCCCAGGCCGTTGTCTTTGACCAGCACGTGGCCCGCGGCCGAGCCGTTCAGCCGCACGTCCCGCACTTTGATGCCGGCCCCCTCCAGCTGGCCGCGCACGGTCTGGACGATGTCCTTCAGGGTGAGCTCCAGGGTCGGGAAGTTGCCGCGGCCGTGGACGGGAACGACCTCGGTCAGGACTTCGTGCAGCCGGCTCACCTGGTCCCAGGTGAGCACGCTGAAGGACACGCAGTCCCGGGCACCGCTCTTCTCCTCTGCCATCTTGGGGGTGTTCTTCCAGGGAAACTGAAAGGCAGGGGGCGAGAGGCAGAGTTAGGACTCGCTGGGACACAGCAAGCGTGCCCGTGGCTCGCCTCTGAACACTAACTGAGCGGCCACAGAAGCCACGGGCCACGCTGGGGGGCGGGGCCTGCGTGGAGTCGGGGGCGGCGCACGGGCAGCTGCTTCCTCCCCCGATCTGGCCAGTCCACAATTCCTTCTAGTGCGGCTTTTGCTTGAGTGGTTGGTTTTTGATTTTGGCCTTTGTCTCCTGAGGGGAGGGGCGGAGCGTGCTGGGGAGAAGGGAAGTGGACAGACTCACTAGGGCGAGCAGCCCACGCGTTTGAACGGCCGACAGGCCTTGGTCATTTGCCTTCCGGCAGAAATGGCCTCCACGGCCCTGGGCTCCCTCTGAATCTTAAGAGGAGGGGTGATGGTGCCCACAGCTGCCTTCCCGCCATCGGCAGGCGGCCCCAGCTCTGGGCTCAGCTGCACCGAGAGGAGGGACGGGACTCTGGCCAGAGCAAGGACATTTCAGGGAGCGTGGCACCCTGTTATCGGAGTGAGACAGGGCTTGGTCGGAATGGAAACTTCCCCGGGGGAGCAAAGGGTTAGGCCAGCCCCACGGCAGCTGCGGCGGGGGCCCCCCCAGCCAGACTCCGCAGGCAGTGTGCCCAGCACAGACACCTTGCAGTCACCAGAGGAGAATCAAGGCAGCGCTCAGTACTGGGAGGAAAAGGTCCAGGCTCACATTATTCCAGCTGCCTGACCCGCAGAGTAGCCAGAGCAACAGAGCAATGTCGCCTGGACCAGAAACCCCAAGGTCACTGGAAATCCGAATAATATAAAAACAAATGCTGATCTCTTAGAAAGCCAAGATGCTTGAGCCAAGATGCTCATCCACATATCAGCTGGATGAGTGCAAGCGCAGAGGCAAAGCCCAGGGTGGTGGCCGAGGGCCTCAGCCCAAGCAGATAGCTTCTCCAGCACTTCTGGGCACTACCCAGGTCTACCACCCCCCCTACCCCGCGGCTCTGGTTCCCTCTCTCATAACCAGTGTGTGATCTCCTGGCCCAAATCCAAGCCTGATTTCTAGTCTCAGGCTCTAGAAACGAAGCCAGGAATCCTGGGTTTGACCTACACAGCTGAGAGTAACTGGGTGGTGGGTTCTCAGTAGGAGACGCCACTGGGCACAACTTGGCAAGACAAGGCCAGACCTGGCAGGCAAGAGGACTCCACTTGGCTGGGGTGGCCGGGAAGCCACAGGGGCATCCCTCGTCAGGAGGGGAACTGGGCCAGGAAAAGTCCCGCAGGCCGAGGGAAGGTGGCTGCATGCACGAGGCCTGGCCTGCTGTCCAGGCCAGCAATCCCAACTCATCTGGATCACACGTCCCTTGAAGGTGTACGTGAGGGTCTGTTTGCGTTGCTGATGATTGGGAGGGACATTGCATGGCCAAGACAGCTCTAGAGGACTAATCTGGGGATGAAGCTTCCTCTGACTGCTCCAGAAAAATACTTGTCAAGGGGAAGGGAAGGTAAAGAAAGTTCCCTGCAGACCTGTTTGGGCAGCATTAAAAAGCCCTGGGTTGCCGTAATCACCCTACCAAAGCACCCTGAGGCCCAGGGGAGCAAGCAGAACCTGCCATGACCGCCCAGGTGCTTCTGGGGCCTGGCGCTGGGCTCCCAGCCAGACCTGGGAAAGGACAGTGCCTTTCTGATGAGCGCCATGTACACGCAGTTCTCAGGGCCCCTCTGATGACCTACCAGCAGGCCACTTGTGCCTGTTCCACAGGGCACCGTGCAGGGAGTTCAGACAGAGCCAGAGAGCCACGGGTGGAGCTATGAGCAGCGCTGGCCCGCCTGGGACGGCAGGCGCAGGCTCCTGCCAGCTGTGCGTGCTTCCTATGGAAACACAACTTGCTTGGCCACGTGTCGTTGTGCCCACAAGGGGCCTACACTGTCCTTGTGCCTACAAGGTTCATTTTTGTGATACGGGTAGGAGAAGTCACAGCAAGTCGCTCAACACGTGGGATGGCGGAACTATAGTTCTGAGTCATTTCCAGAACCTCAGTCATGCTAGAGATCTACAGTAGGAATGGCCTTGATGCTTTCTTTTCCCCAAGGAGTTGTTAAAAAGAAGCACACACACACACACCGCCCCACTCAGGTGGCGGTCAGGGCTACTCCCACCTCAACTCTCGCAACTCTGAGCATCACAGGACGATCTGCCGTGGCCAGTGAGCGACTGGCCCTTCCCCTGGGGGTGGGGTGGGAGCCACGTACCCCGAGAAGGTGAATGCTCCTATGTATTTTTTAAATCTGTGAGCTTGTGCTAGGCTCCCAAGAGAGTCTGTTGTAGACTGAGGGTTTGTAAGGTTTATATGGGAGGAAGAGCAGGAATAGTCAGAAGTTACGGCCCAAAGGGGGTGTGTACCACAGCGGCAAGAGAAGCTGGAAGCCACAATATTGAAACAAGACAAACTAGTGGAAACAGACAAGTAGGTGAACAGAATTAAGCCTTGAAATAAAATCCAATGCATAATGGGATTTAGTTACATATAAAGAGTTGAAAGAGAAAACAACCTGAAACATCTAGATATCTAGATTTTTATAAATAAAGGTTGTTCCTCCTTCCAAACTGAGACCTAGATTGGGTGCATCAAGGACTGAAATGTAAAAGAAGGAAATCCCCAGAGTATTAGGGACAAAATGGAATAGGCATTTGCTTAGAGAGAATAGCTAGTCCTTTCTGCATTATATACACCGCAAACGCACCAAAACATGGTGTATGTCCCTACAGGACAAGTGTCTACAGAGTGAAAACACCAGAAAGAAGTCAAAAGGCAAAATGAGGCAAGTATTTGGGATACCGGGCAAAGCATTCATTTCCCTAATGAATAAGAAGCCGCTGCAAATCAGAAATATTAGACCCCCAGTAGAAGGGACAAAGGGCGTGAACAGAGACTCAGAGGCAGCCCGTGGTCAACCTTGCCTGAAGGGGTGTGCAAGTTAAACGTCAATGTGTCCTCTGTGCCTCCCGGGGCACTGAGGAGCATCAAAAAGCCTGGCAGGCGGGACGCAGACGCCGTCCGTCACCCCTCGGGTTCTCTCTGAGGAGAGTGTGGGACTCTCCATTTCAGCGGCTGTCTCCCTCGGTGGGGCAGTTCCAGCTCCAGGACCCCTCCCTTGGGCCCTGTCCGCACTGCCCGCGGGGAAGCACAAAGGCATCTGCTGAAACGCCGTTTGCAGAACTGTGCGTGTTCACCGCTGGGAGATGTTTAACGACTCGGTTCACATATTCAAAACTGTCCACGCTGTTGTCCGAAAGAACAGTGTCAGCTCGGGGTTCATGAGCGCGACGTGCCAGCCAGGGTTTATTCGCCAAAAAGGAAGTGCCATGCCGTGTGTGGGAAAGTGCAAGCCTGAGCTTACACAACCACAAAAGCACTGCAAGGACTCGCAAGCAGGCAACACCAAACGCAACCTCTGGAGGCACAAGGGAACTTACTCCTTATTTCCTGCCTGTAGAATAAGGCCCCACCGGGAGGGGGCTGGAGGGGAACGCTTCTCCCTTAGTGTAACTTGCAGTGTACTTAGGTACTGATAGGAGATGTCCATAACTTAGCTACAAAGCTTTTAAATAGTGAGATAAGCCATCTCATCTTGTCCTGTTCAAATGTCACCCAAAAATGCTTTCATTGCGTGTGTGTGGCTTTAAGGAAGGATATTTCTCGTCTCAGACATCTGACAGCTACCTCATAGCACGGTTTTGTTCACTGGTCGCTGCAGCTGCAGCCACCTAATAAATAGAATAAACACTTTTTGAAAAGGACTCAAGGTGCCTGTGTTTGGCATCTTCCGTGTTCACTTTTTCAGACACATGAATGACTGACTGATGGGGTGGGAGGGCAGTCTACAGAAAGGCAGCATAAGAGATAGCAAATACGGCCCTCCCTGGTGGCGCAGCGGGTTAAAGCACAACACTGAGAATCTAAAGCCGCTTCCGCATGAGTTCAATCCCCGCCTGCCCCGCAGGTGACCACAGGGCGCGGCAGACCTCTCCTGACCCGCCCGCTGCTCCCCTCAGCAGTGTACTTCGTCGATCTGCCTGTTCTGCTCCCCACTCTGTCTCTGGTGAAGCCTCTCGCCGCCCCTGAGCCTCTGGCCTGTACCCCAGTTCTGTATGCACAAATAAATAAATCTTTAAAAAAAAAAAAAAAAAGAGAGAGACAGCAAATACAGACCAGAGGGAGTTTCTTCCAATTCTCCCAATGTAACATAACTAGAAGAGCTTCACTTATTGAAGACTGAAATTCAGGGCGAAGCTCACAAGAAGAGTCCAAATTAAGTTATTTATTGCTGCCTACTGGAAAGAGTCTTTTTTCCCCTCACCCAGCCAAACAATTTCAAACACCAAAGTACCTCTGAGTTTCTTAGACAAACATCGGTATGACTAGAATAAACCCAAGTCCCAGGCCCGCGGTGTTTAGATAACACCAGAACTTAGTGTGACAGTTTCAGTTCTAATGAACCACTTGACTCCACACTGACCTAACCCCACATGAACCAGTCCCGTGAAATGCACATTCTCAAGTCGCGAACAGCCCTGGTTAAGGGCTGATCCTCATTAGCAGAATGAACAGAATTAACAAAATAGTGACTAGAAAATAATTAACTTGAAGCCTGGTGAACTGCAACTAGAATACCTGGTTTTCCTTTCACTGTCCGAGAAGCAGATGCATGGTATTTTGCACAGTGGAAATCGGGAAAGGTGAGAACCATAATTTTCTCACCAGCTTGAAAACGGACGCGTCTTTTTACGAGGGAAGGTCACTGCATCACCCACCTGGCTCCAGCAACTTACTGTTCTGAAAAGTTTGACTCATGACAAACAATGACCTCAGCTACCCGGTTGCCTTTCTCCTGTCACCTGCCTGCAGCCGCGGTCAGGAGTCACGCAGGAAAGCAAGCACACCTGGCACCGGAAGACCCAAAGGCGCACCAGGCCGAGGGAAGCAGCTCCTAGC